ATGGTGAAAAAAGTAAGGTTCTACATTTAAGTAAGAAAAACAAAATGCACGGATACAGTATATGTGGTACCTTGCTCAATCGTAGTAACTGTGAGAGGAATCTTGGAGTCCTAGTGGACAATCACTTAAATATGACCCAGCAGTATGCTGCAGCTGCCAAAAAAGCCAACACAGTTCTAGACTGCATAGAGATAGAATCAAGATCACGTGAAGTGTTAATACCACTTTATAATGTCTTGGTAAGGCCACACTTGGAATACTGCATCCAATTTTGGTCACCATGATGTAAAAAAGATGTTGAGACTAAGAGAGCAGAGAAGAGCTAAAACATATGAAGAGCGGTTGCTGGAATTGGGTATGTCTAGTTTAATGAAAAGGGCATGAGGTGACATGATAGCAGTGTTCCGATATCTCAGGGGTTGCCACAAAAAAGAGGGAGCGAAGCCAGTCTCCAAAGCACCTGAGGGTAGGAGAAGCAGCAATGGGTGGAAACTAATCAAGGAGAAAAGCAACTTAGAACTAAGGAGAAATTTCCTGACAGAACAATTAATCAGTGGAACAACTTGCCTCCAGAAGTTGTAAATGCTCCAACACTGGAAGTTTTTAAGAAAAGATTGGATAACCATTTGTCTGAAGTGGTGTAGGATTTCCTGCCTAAGCAGGGGGTTAGACTAGAAGACCTCCAAGGTCCCTTCCAACTGATTCTATTCTATTCTATTCTATTCTATTCTATTCTATTCTATTCTATTCTATTCATGAAGGGGGAAAACTTTTTAAGTACTGAAAATTGGGCGACTGAGCTTCAGTTGTGTATAACAGTTGTAGGAAAAGCCAGCCATTTAGACGGAAGCAATGGAGCGCAGAAAAAGCAAAGGGTGGTTTTAATGAGGAAGAAAGTGGCCTAAAAAGCGTCCGCAGCGATCTTAATTTTCCCTGATGAAAAATAAAAGTTCTGAAGCTCAACTTTAACCCATTCAAAGACGCATGCGCATAAGAAGTAGAAACTAGAGATAGGAATAATATAGAATGATAACGGCCTACGCTGAGTTCACGCTTGATTTGATACTGTGTTTATTCATTATCCATTATCACAAATTGGAAACGATGGCTGTGATACATTCTTGAACTGCCGATAACATTATAGATTAAGAAACAATTATAATTGTGGTGATTCATGGGGAAACCGCCCAAATGAGATAGCTGAGTCGTCCTAATAAAAGCATCAATCAAGGATTCTCTGCCTTGCAAAATCCGATGTTACTAAGTAACCTTGTTTGAACCTAGTGATTCGTTTGCATGTTTTTGGTGGAGATGCTACCTTTTATTTTATTTTACTTTTTTACAATGCAGCCCTCTCCGTGTTACTCAGAAGTTATTAAATGATAACCGGTCTTGATTAAAAACATTATCAGATATATTCTATATATTCTATAAATAATATTCCCACTCTCGTCCTCTGCTGCTGCGTTGTGCGTTTTGCCTCAGCAAGAGAGGAAGGCAAGCTGCCGTCCAAAGAATTGACTTTGTTCCTCATTATTCCCCGGAAAGGGGAAACCGAAGCCGCTCGAGATAAATTCGGAAGAGTCAACCTTCGAATGAGTCTCTACGCTATGAATCTATGGCCTTAAGGTTGCAGCGGGGTTCGGCGCTGATGGGACTCCCTTGCCGTCTTGCCGGTTTGATCCGCGGCTCGCTGGGAAGAGGATGGAAGAGTATCTGCCTCCCCAAGAAGGTCGGCTGAAGCCAGGCGAGGCCCCAGTAGCCCTGAGGTGTGTCAGGGAGCTGAGATGCAAACTCTGCAGGCTCTCGGCGCCTTTTAGGCGAGCCGCTCATGCTTCCCCAGGACCGTCAGAGACGGGGCTGCGTTGCTCGTAGGACTTCCGTTTGCTCTTTCCTGTGCACTAAGCATCATGGACAGCGAGCCCAACAGAGCGTTTTAGGCTGTATAAATGATTGGCATTAAATAAGAAGCCAGAAATGGAGGGTAATGTGGGCGGAGGTATCTCTAAACACACACGCGTGTATACGTACAGCAGCGAATTCATCGCGGTAATTTTAACACTTCGCTTCGTAGAATGCCTGGAAGAAGATGGTGGCAATTTAACTCTTTCCTCGTAGTTTACATTGTTGAGGGCTTTCCTCCTAGGCTCTTTTGATTTGTGTGCTGCCAAAGAGTACTCTGTCCTCTCCTGTCCATACATGCTGGAAGTTTTTCCAAGGGATATGACATATGTATATTTCCAATATTAAAATATATTTTTATATATATATATTCAATAAAATATATTGAAAGTAGCCAATGAATTGTATACATTCTGGATATCTATTTCGATTAGGATTATTTATTTATTTGTCAAACTTGTACAAGATAGCAGGTATAGGTATAAACATAAACAAAGGAAGTTAAGTACAGATAAATGGGGACAGTAGAACAGGGACGGTAGGCTCGCTGGTGCACTTATGCACACCCCCTTTACGGACCTCTTAGGAATGGGGTGAGGTCCACGATAGACAGTTTAAGGTTGAAGCTGTGAGGGTTTGAGGCTGTAACAACAGAGTCAGGTAGAGCATTCCAGGCGTTGACCACTCTGTTGCTGAAGTCATATTTTCTGCAGTCGAGTTTGGAGCGGTTTACCTTGAGTTTGTATCAGTTGCTTGTATTATTGTGGTTGAAGCTGAAGAAGTCATTGACAGGTAAGATGTAGCAGACAATTTTGTGTACTATGTTTAGATCAGACCGCAGGCGGCGCAGTTCCAGATTGTCCAAGCCCAAAATTTCGAGTCTGGTGGCATAAGGGATTCTATTGTGAGTTAGAGAAGTGGAGTACTCTTCTTGTGAAATACCTCTGGACCTGTTCAATCGTGTTAATGTCCAATATACAGTGTGGATTCCAGGCAGATGAGCTGTATTCAAGAATTGGTCTGGCAAAGGTTTTGTATGCCCTAATTAGCAGTACAATGTTACCGGAGAAGAAGCTTTGCAAGATTAGGTTAACAATTCTTAATGCTTTTTTGGCAATGCTGTTACAGTGAGCTCTGAGGCTTAGATAATTTGAGATGAGTATTCCTAGGTCCTTGATAAAGTGAGGGTCATCTACGAGATCGTTTCTGCCCAACTTGTATTCGGTGTTCTGATCTTTTTTTGCCAATGTGCAGGACAGAACATTTATTAGTTGAGATTTGGAGTTGCCAAATGTGCGACCATTCTGACACATAGTCAATGTCGCTTTGTTGGGCAGCAGCATTGTCAGTGGTGTTAAATAATTTTACGTCATCAGCGAAGAGGACACAGCTGCTTTTAATATGATCACATAGGTCATTGATGTAAAGCAGAAAGAGTGTGAGTCCTAAAACGCTGCCTTGGGGGACACTGCTGTTAACAGGTGCCAGATTTGATTGGGCCCTCCCTATTTTGACTATTTGTTGCCTGTTGGACAGGAACGTGGCTATCCACTTGTGCAGGGATCTGGAGATGCCATAAATACTTTGAGTTTTGCATTGAATTGGTAGTGGATTATTAAAACTTGTAAGTTAACGGCAGAAAGGATAGTTGTATAGAAGATGGTAACTTTTGACTAGTATTTATTTATTTATTTATTGGTTCAATTTATATGCCGCCCTTCTCCAGAGACTCAGGGCGGCTTACAATGCGTTAAGCAATAGCCTTCATACTTTGTATATACCTGCTTAGTAGGGCTTTCGGCCCCCCCAAGTGGTGTTCTTTTTTATACAAATTCAGCTTATTGCCCCCACAATCTGGGTCCTCATTTTACCAACCTCGAAAGGATGGAAGGCTGAGTCAACCTTGAGCCTGGTGAGATTCGAACTTGCAGTAATTGCAGGCAGCTGGTGTCACTTAACACCACTTTAATCTGCGCCACCAAGGCTTGTTTGCACAAGTCCTTTTTTTAAAAAAACAATACAGTGACAACAGTTTATAGCCTGTCAGTCCAGATCTCGTGTCCAGTGTAGCTTTAGTAGTCTAGAATTATCAGGTATCTTGAATAGGCAAAGGCAAACAGACAACTGTAAAGGACAAGTGGGAACAAAGGAAGAGACAATGTTTACCTTTCTTGACACCTGTGAAAATATTTACAGCAGAAAAATGTACTTAGGCCTTTATGTATACAAAATCACTTTTTCCAGACTAGTTCTTCAATTGTAATATTTTTTCAACAAATCTTTATTTTCAGGAACATATGTAGCTATAATACAGAATTTGCAACACTGTGCTTTGTGAATATCACCATAGAAAGGTATGACAGATCATGTGATCTCACAGACTACAGTGATTATGGATTTGATGGGGCTGAATTGAAGCCGATTGCTGGAGTCAGGAAATAAATAAAGAAAATCTAGGCTATTGATAGACAAAGAAAAGAAAGAAGAGAATTTACAGGGCCACAGTATAGGAAAGTTTGACCACTGTTGTGAAAACAGTTTAATTTTTTAAAAAAACCAGATACTAAAAAAAACCCTCTCTGTGTTACACTTTAAGATTATGGCTGACACATGTCCTCTTTTTGCTGAATGATAACCCTATATTAGTGGCAGTGAGTTTGATTCTGACAAATATTTGCAATAGTAATAGTGCAAGGTGAGGAAGGATTCTACTTTACTCACCTATGCATCCCTTTTCTGCTCTGCTGCATTCAAAATGTACTTCCTGAGATGAATTGCCAGCATTTATATTACAGGTAAGCACCCACGCCAAGTTACTTGTACGCACAATAATAAAAAAAAAAACATAAAATCTGAATGGTTGCCCTATTAAAGACTTAAGGCATTGTATTATATTTTAACTGGGCAGATTTGCACACAGATATTTTCTGTATCTCCACAAAGGTAATAAAATTCCCCCCATGGAAATGTGTTTATCATCATGGAAATTTAGTTCATGCTTTCTGACTTAATATGATTTTTGATATATTTTATTAATCTAAAAATATATTTTATTTATCTAAACAATCTAAACATTTTCTGCTTTCTTTTATATACAGGTGATCAGTTCTGGATTTTCCATGCTGTTTTATTCCTGGAATGATTTCAATAAAGATTACTTCAAAATGATAACAAACATTATCATTTTGAGTATACTTATATGTATTTCTTTATCTTTCTGGATTGTGTCCATGACCGCAAGCACATATTATGGTAAATTTATAAAGTGATTAGATATTTATGAAATGTTTGTTTATTGCATTCACATTTTAATTACTTTAATAGCTAATGTTGATATGTAAGCACACTTGCAATATATTTCTATAACTGAAATATTTTAGGTTACTGCTGAAGTTTATCAAATATATTCAACCACTCATTAAAAACTATATATTTTAAGAACTTTAATATTTGAAATATATGTATAGCTAGTGGTTTAATTGGTAGTAACTAGAAATAATGTATACATTATGTCAATAATTTATTATAACTGATACTCCTTCCTCCTATTTGCTTCACAATTAGGTATGTTCATCACCTTGAATTATTTATAAAAGTAATAAAAGCTACGTGTGTGTGTGTGTTTCTGTGCATAGCTGGTATTTTGAGAAAATAAAAATACTTGTTTTTTAATTAAAATATTGTCATCTGTATGTCGCAGTGATATCTATCAATTAAAATAACTTTTGCCAACAGATTTTGGCAATGTAATTTCAGATGGTGTGAGACCTCAAAACCAGTGTTTCCATCTTTAGCAACTTTAAGATGTGGGGACACTAATTCCCTAAATTCCCTAGCCAGCTTAAAGTTGCAAAAGTGAGAAACACTTCTATACAATGGTAACATATATTAGCCAATAGTCTAAACTGGTTTGTCTCATAAGTAAAATGAAAGCGATTAGACAAGATATGTTTCCTAACCTCCTTCAAAGAAAAGGGATAGTGTTACATCTGGTAAGTTTGGAATCCAGGATGCACATGTTTGTGTTTTAGTATGCATTTACTTTCTGATCTCTTTCATAAGGCTTACAAAGCACTCTGTAATTTCAAATTCATTAAGCATATTATATCCTAAAATAGAGGGGAAAATATATTAAGGAGGCTATGAAAAAAAGAGTAAAACATACGCCCAACAATCTAGGTCCTCATTTTCCCGACCTTGGAAGGATGGAAGATTGAGTCTACCAGTCTTCCTGATTGAGTCAGGATCAAACTCCTGGCAGTGGGCAAAGTCAGCCTACAATACTGCATTTTAACCATTGCATCACATAGCTCACAATTCGAAATTCTGCTTTTAATGTGCAGAGTCTTTATGTCTCAGTCTCTAGCTACTGGCAGGACCTCCTGTTTCAGGCAGAACCAACTTGATCAGTTCATTTAGGTCCAGAAGACCATCTTGAGAATTCAAATGAAATCAGCAAAGGGGCTAGAACATGGTGAGGTTTTTTCATGCGTTGCCCCTATGCTTAACACTGGTTTCCAGAAATCTGGATGGCATTGTCCCGTCTAGTTTTCCACTTGCAGTCATGACAGAGTTTTATCATAGCACGTTTGATTGCTGAAAATTTAGAGTTGCTTTTTTAGAGGGCTGTTATAATTTTATGTATTTTGTTTGATTATAAACTGCCAGGAATCTGTATGACTATGTTAGTATAAATATAGTCAATAGATAAGTAAATAAATAAGAACATTTTGGCTGTTAAGTGATGTGGATGAAAAATATGTGTGAATTCAAAATGTTTCTAGATTTCACAAAGAGCAAAATTCCACTTTATGCGCTGCAGCAGCAGCAGCCTCCAACCTTTTGGGCACCAGGGACTGGTTCTCTGGAGAAAGGATTTTTCCACGGACCGGAAAGGGCGTGGTTTTGTGTGCTGCCTACATCCCGTGGATGGGGCTTCACTTGTTTGTATGGCCGGTTGCTAGCATGCTGCGGACTGGTGCCAGTCCACGGATCGGGGGTTGGAACCCCTGCCCTACAGGGCAATTGCCCTTCAATTGGCTCATTGCCATTAGAGATTTTTTTTCAAAGAACCTAACTGCTCCACTATCCCAGCAGAATATTTTACTGTACTTGTATATAAAGTGATACAATTTCAAGTCTATGTTACTTAAAAAGGAATAAAAACTGCTTTTACTTTTCAACAGTTTTTTAAAAACATTGTGGTTTGGACAATAGAATATTGGTCTTGACATTGTGTACTGTTTTCAACATACTTTTTAGGTAGCTTGCGGCCAATTTCTCCATGGCGCTGGCTTTTTTCAATTTTGATCCCACTAATAATTGCTTCACGAGGATTTAGGAAAAAGAGTCTTGATCATGGTGGAGCAATAGGAGGTATGGCTTTATCTCTTAATTTTAGCTGTCTGTATAGATTTTTAAGAAGTATTTTCCTTCACCTTTTAACTTAGCATTAAGATGTGTTTGTTTTTGTTTATTGTCATTATGCTTTTTTTAAAAAAAAGTTACCTGCATGTGCAAGCTTTCAGTAAAAATAATATTCTATTCTTATTGTGGTACTAATTTGTTCCCATCACTTTGCAGGGATAAATATATGTATATTATTTATTTTTTGATGTATCATTTGGCAAATTTTCTTCTGCATTCTGGATGGAAAATAAAGTAGAATTCAGGAGGTGGCTTGACTATGCAAACCTCTTTTATACCTCATATAAGGGTATCTAATCTAGATAATTATTCTGGGCTCCATAGAATTGGATTTGTTATGAGTTATTCATTACTTGAGTAGATGTTTATGTTCAAATTACGTGATTAATGTAAACATAAATGTTATTCAAATAAGTAACTCATGACAAATATGTTACATTTATGTGCATGTGTATATCTGTACCTACATGTACACACACATATACACAGATCAAATTTCATCTGATATCAGATGAAATTTGGTCTGTGTATATGTGTGTGTACATGTAGGTATATGTATGTGTGTGTGTGTGTGTGTACTAATACATATTCAGTCAAGTTGTCCTATACCCTTAAATATTGAAAACAGTCTGATGAACCTTAGGATCCTATGTCTAATCAACCACAAATAAGACACTGGGGTGCTTTTAGAAGAAATTTGATATTTCTTCTGATATCAGAACAGGTAAATAAAAGTTATTGACAGTAGATTACTACAGCAGCTATGTAAGCATTTTTCTTTGTATGTTTTAGCACAGCGGTCACCAACTGGTGGTCCGTGGACCAGTGGTGGTCCGTGAGAAAATTTTGGTGGTTTGCAGAAAAATTATTTGCATTTTTTATATTGCACTAAATCAGGGGTCCTCAAACTACAGTCCCTGGGACAGATACGTGCAATGAATGCTTGTGTTGCTGCAGACAGTCTCCCCCTTCGGGGTTTTTTTGTGTAGGTCTGAGGGGGGCAGAAATTCTGACTTGGGGTCTGCTTTGGCCTCCTGGTGCAGGGCTTTGGGCGAAGGCTGGAGGGAAGCGCTGCTGGTGGCAAAGAACCAGAGGGCCTTGTTCTAGTGGGACTGCATCATGGCCTGGAACTGGCTGACCATCTCAGCCTGCTGAGCCTCCAAGCGCTGGCACCTGGCCTTGCACTCCCGCGGGTCTTCTCTCTGCTTGGAAAGCCTATGCTCGTAGTCATCAGTGAGGTGCTTCTGCTGAGCCTTCTTCTTGGCCAGATACAATTTGAACTAAGCCAACTGTTTTGCCAACTCTTTCTCATGGTGGCTGCTTAGCTCCAACAATTGCTTCCTGTAGGGGGCCTAAGGAGCTCAGGCAGGGAGGCAAGGAGTGGCTGGGAGGGGAGGGGCAAGTAGAGGCTGGCGAAGTGCCCCTCAATGTGAATGACATTGACTTGGCCACACTCACCCAGTCACATGACCACCTAGCCACGCCCACCCAGCCGGTCATTAGGCAGATCATATTAGTGGTCCACAAGATTTAAAATTATGAATTTAGTGGTCCCTGAGGTCCCAAAGGTTGAGGACCCCTGTTTTAGCATATTCAAAATAATGTCAATTTTGAAAGAGTTTTCCTTTTTGCTTCCTAACTGCCACATATTTTAGCCTGGGAAATTGGGAGGGTTTTTTTGTTGGAGCAGTAGAAAGTTAGTCATAACAACATTCGGTATTCAAGGACACTTTTGCCTGCATCTGCTGGAGACTGCCTGGAGATTGTATCCAGTTGAATGTGAAGAGTTGATTGGACTATGTGATGAACTTGTGGGTGTGGGGCAGGGCTGTGAACTGTTAGCTGGGTGGAAAAAACCTGGAAGCTTTCAGATTCGAGTTTTCCCAGATGTGCCAAGATGACATCTCTAATAAATTGGAACTTTGAGGAACCTCAGGCCTCAGAGTTTTATTTCGTTGGGGGTATTCCTTGGAACCCTGACAAATAATTTATTAATGTAGTCTTACTAATTCTTTATTAGTACGGTCGAGAAAATTGCCTATACTAGAAATACTATGCTAAAAAGCTGGGATTTAAAGGAGGAAAGAAGTTTCAAAAGTATCGAGCATCCAACCTCACATAATTAGGGTGAGGAGGATTCTTGGTCTATATTGAATAGCAGAACGTAATAATTTTATGGCTTTTTACCCCTGAAAAATTTGCTATCTCTATGCCTGATCATTATTGTGCAACCTTTTCTTTATGGAATTCATAATCTAATTATGATTCTTAGCAAGTTTAATCTAACTCGTTTAACAGAAACCAATCTTGATTATTCCATGCTGCCTCTTCAAGATGACCTACAATTTTAAGTTACGTGGGAAGAGTGGGGAATATAAATTTATTTAGGGCATTTATGACAGTTTGTATTAATCTAGCATTTATAAAAAAAATTGGAATACTGAGGAAAAAAGGAATTTAAGAGACATACCAGATTTTATCAGAAACATCAAATGTAGTACAGTATGTAAGAAAGATTAATATGAATGTATCTTCAGATACCTGGATTATGAATGGATGATATTCTTCCAGCCATATTACCAGAATGTTCTAACGTATAAAGGTAGAAGCAACAGGTCTGAAGATAGATATGAACAGAACTAAAGGTGTAGTGCTGCTTTCCTCCAATCAAGATAAGGAAGAATAATTAATGGGCATATTAATTAGCATGATGGCACTTAGACCATTACACATGGAATGCAGAAACATGGGGGAGCTAGCTTAGTTTACTCCTATATTATGTAAAAATACTGCATAAATACTGAATTTGTAGATCTTATTGCCCAATACTTTCAAAGAGTATGTTCAGTACCATAGAAGAATGCAGTGGAATATCATAAAACAAGATATGGCTGGCTATAAAACTGAATAGGAGTATTCCATACTGCAACTGTTTTGTGATTCTTTTTGATATTGTTACTAACTACGTAGTGTTTTCTTTCTGCAAGATTGCTTTAACTTGCACATTCTGTACAAAACAATAAAATTATTGGACTATTATTTCAATGTAGGCTGATGCCAAATACTTCTTAAAAGTCAAATAATTAAATTTCTGGAGGAAAATGATTGCAAAAAGTAAATTGTAATTCTTTCTCCAACTTTCCCTTTTCCGTCAGGTTTAATTGTTGGATTTATCCTCACTGTTGCAAATTACAGCTTTTTTACCTCCATGCTTATGTTTTTCATTACTTCTTCCAAACTTACTAAGTGGAAAAGAGAAGTAAAAAAACAAATAGATTCAGAATACAAAGAAGGTAAGCTTTTAGTTTTAAGAAATTTAATAATGATGATTTACCCTGATTTTAGGGAAGGAATAGTGTAATGCTTAGATTGGATCCGGGTAGGAAGAAGCTGGCCTTCCCCACTTCACTTTTGCCCTTTTCTTATCAGTCCACAAGATCCTGGAAATATTTCCTTGGGAAACAGGATTCTATTGAGAGAAAGGAATTGATATATTTGGAATAAGAAAGCATTTGAGAAAAAATTATGGAAGCTTTTTTATAAGCCAGCACTGTTAGAGGCCAATTTTTATGGTCTTTGAAAAGTTACAAGTAGAATAGGTAGAAAATTATATTTAAACACCAATATCTACTGGATTGCATCTGTAGGCTAAATCCCAAATAAATATTTCTTGACATCATCTTTCTAATGAATCACCTGAATTATGCATGTAAACAAAATAATAATTTTGTATTAATTTTTGCTTTGAGTTAAAATTGAAAACTTTAATGATTTGAAATAAGCATAATATTATTCAATTTTTCTAATGCGTACTCTCCAGGCTACTAAACGTTTGTTTCCTCTTAACAGTTTATAGCTTCTCTGTTTGTATATAGGTGGACAAAGAAATTGGGTGCAAGTATTTTGCAATGGTGGTGTACCTGCAGAATTGGCTCTGCTATATATGATTGAAAATGGACCAGGTGAAATTCCAGTAGATTTCTCTAAACAATATACAGCATCCTGGATGTGTCTATCATTGCTGGGTGCTTTGGCCTGCTGTGCTGGGGACACCTGGGCTTCAGAAATTGGCACTGTCATAGGTCATGAACCTCGGCTAATAACAACCTGGAAAAAAGTTCCTGTAGGTGAGCTTGAATTTCAAAATTATCTCAGCTGAATGAATGGTAGTAGATAGTCTCTCAACATTCTTTTTGTGGTCTTGATTTAATTAATGTTAAACATTGTTTTAGCAACCATAGTTTATTATACAAACCATAATTGGCTAGATTCCTACATATTGAACTGTAAACCATGGTTTATAGATCATAGTGTGTAGAGTCACATTGTGCAGAAAGCAGAATCAAATAAACCTTCATGATTTAGCATGATGTGTAAACTCAGTCATTGGGTGCAGCTTGCGTAGTCTTAAATTTGGCCTGAAATTTGTATCAGTTGTACCTTTGCCTTCTATTTCCCAGTTACCATGTATTTGAATCATTGATGCAATAATACAATCGGCCAAAATATCTCCAAAAATGACATGTTGTCAGTCCTTCCTGGTAAACCAGATAGGAAACAGAATTAGATGAGCTAATTCTATTTTATTGTAAGGCTACATTAACAGACTCTTGCAAATCTGAAATTACAAACTACCCACCAGCCACTTTTAACTGCCTGATCCATTAGGGCAGACTCTTTCTCAGTTTCTTTCTATGACACTTAGTAATTGTGGCTCCTGCCCACCTTGTCTGTTTTTTTCTAGGCAACATCCCGCTTCTCCTTTAACAATTTTAATAAAAACAGTCATAAGATCAAGTCTGTTCGGACAGTGACTTAGTTTACAATCACAACTTACATCTAAAATTCTGGGTTCAATTTTGGTCACAAGTCGAGGATTACCAGTGTCTTCTCATTGTGAACTGTCTGTCAGGGAAGGCATTTTTACACATAGCTTTCTTATGTGCTTTCTGATTGAAATATGCCTGGCATTAATTTTATTGTGTTTACAATGCCAGGCAAAGACCTTTTTATTCTTGCAACTTGCTGCAAAGAAACTATCAGTACTCTGTTGCTTTTATTTTATTATGCATTATGTATTAATCTGTTTTTGTTGTAAGTCACTTTGGAAAACTTGGTTTTGAGCAAAAACCTATATACTGTATTTTTCGGAGTATAAGATGCTCTGGACTATAAGACGCACCTACCTTTTTTGGGGAGGAAAACAAGAAAAAAAATCTGCCTCTGCCTCCCAGCAATTTGCCTCCTTGCAGCAAACAGCCTGCTTTAGTTTCATTTTCATTTTCATCATAGCCTGATTAGCACAAGAAAAAAAATCTGCCTCTCAGCAATTTGCAGCAAACAGCGGAGGCCCACGTGGCAATAGGCAATGGCAATCCCTGCAGCCTGAAACAGCTGAGGGTCGGGAGGCCGATCCAAGCGACGAATCAGCTGCTTGTGCTAAACAGGCTGTACTGAAGCTGAAGCTGCAAGGAGGTAAATTGCTGGGAGGCAGGCCAAAGGGTGGGGGCCAGTGGGGCTACATTCGGTGTATAAACGCACCCAAATTTTCTCACCCTCTTTTAGAGGGGAAAAAAGTGTGTCTTATACTCCGAAAAATACGGTATATTATATATTGATTATAAGACAAATTTTTCTCAGTTCCAACTGTAACAATATTATCACTTGCGAAAAGCATAATGCAGTTGTTTGGGTAATGAATTTGGGTCATGTATTAACCAGGACATAACTATTTAAAACAAGTCTCAGTTGAATACAATATGGTAATCTGGTCACTGAAATGAACACTGATTGGAATGCTGTTTGAAGTTGACTTATGGGTATGGTTGGTATCAGTATTAATAGTGCATTTCTGGGAAGAGAAAAGTTGAGGTTTGTTTCAAGTTTTTTAATTAAGTGGATTCAGCTATAATGCTGCATCAGTGGTAGCACATGGTATTGCTGAGGTTAGTTTAAAATGGATTAAGGGTTACTGGGATTCTCCTTTTTGTCTTACTAGTTTGCTGTGCTGCAAAAAGAACAAAGATGGATATTGTCAATGTTATTTTATTTAAAATAAGATGATATTGACCAAGAATGTGCAATATGTCAGGTGCAAAATTATATTATGCTGTATGTAATGCAAATTTTAAACATTTAGAATGCTAATTTTGGAATGTTTTATTTTAGGTACTAATGGAGGTGTTACTTTAGTAGGTTTAATTTCAAGTCTGCTTGGAGGCGCATTCGTTGGTATGGCTTACTTCATTTCCCAGTTGATTTTTGTGAATGATTTGGATATATCTGCTCCACAATGGCCAATTATTGTGTTTGGTGGTTCTGCTGGTTTACTAGGCTCTATCATTGATTCCTACTTAGGAGCAACAATGCAGTACAGTGGTAAGTTTTTAAATAAATCTTTAGATTAGTAGAAAAGTAATGTAATCTTACCATTTAGAATATGTAGGATTGATAACCACAGAGTAAGTTTATCTTAAATATTTTTGTTTTATATTAAATGAATTAGAAATACTAGTTGATATTGCTATTTCATCATATACAGTATATTCCAATTAGTATCAGATAATAAAGACTAATGCTGAAAAATTCTTAACAAGACATAACAAGCATTATACTAAAGGTAAGCAACTTAGCTGGAACTTAGGTAAGCAATTTAGCTGGAAGCTTAACATAGAGTTAGATTCTTCTTTTTTAAAACAAGTTTTATTGGGGTTTTTTTTCTCCTCTCCCACCTTCACCCACATCTTTCTTTTTTTTGAACAGAGTGTTGGTCGTTTCTTATCTTATACAATTAGTCAAATTCAAACACATTTTACTCAATTACAATTTTGCCAATATCGTCTTCCTCCCTTTTCCTTTTTTTTAACATATCTCACTATTTCTATACTTGCATACATAAACACCTTCTTCATTTATCCCTAGATTCTAACTGTACTATTTGTACATATTTATCCTCTTTTATTCTTAAACAATTCATTCTTTATCTTAATATATTTATATTTGTTTGTTCAGAGCTGCCTTTCTTCCACTTCATCTTTTTTATTGTACAGCAATCTTTCTCCTCAAACCTACCCTCTCCCTCTTCTCCTTCCAACTTTCCCCACTTTCTTCTTCACATAGAGTTAGATTCTATCAGCATTTGGGGGAGTGGAAGTTGATATTCTATCAACTAAGTTGATATTAAAAATATTCTAGTGAAAATGGAAACAAAGCATTTGTCTGCAAGTCTTTCATGAATCAATGACTTTTGGACTTGCATAGATGCTGTTTTAAGATTTGCAGACAGGCTGTCCACAAGCACTTTCATGCATTCCAAAGTGTCTAACTGCAATCAGATCCAAAGCTCTGCGCAGCCCTGCTACCTACAACATTCAGATAACAGGAAGTTGAGGTTTATAAATCCCTTGGCTAACCAACAGAAATATAAACAATTACACAACAAGAACAGATTTATTCCCTTCATGTTTAGACATGGTTTAATCTAAAAAAGAACATTTTCCTTGTCTGAAATGGAATAGATTGAGATCAAAAGTTGATGGAGCATTACAGAGCTGCTTTTGAAAAAGGTATATATAGGATTACAGCCTATACTTGACTTTTTTATGGTGTCTGCAACCTTATCCTCAGATACAATTTTTTCAATCATTTGTTGCTCTTAAGGCTAGTGTTCCACCTTCCACTAGCAATAAATCTCACAATTTGTCAATAGCTGTCTCAAAATGAAGTAAACTCTTACCTGGGAAACTCTTACCTTGAGAATGACAAAATTCACAATTAATAGAAGAGTGATTTAATGACATGTTTCTTTAATAACATATCTGTCTCTTACGAAAATTAAATCAGTTGCCCTTAATCTTCCACTATTGTCCTTTCTATTCAGTCAGACACAGGTCTTAGTTTTGATCTTAATAATTGATGTAAATATTTATAAGACCTTATTATTTTAGCAGGCAAGTCACATATGAACTGTAGAAAAGTGACTGAATTTTGTTCACTTGCTGTTGTGGGTTACAAAGCTACTGTAGAATATCAATCTCACAGTTTAAGTTTTAGGACATTGTGGTTGTTGTCCGTAAATAAATATTCTAGCCTGAAATTCTTTGTAATAATTGATTCCTGATGAAAAATAAGGAACACCATTTTATGTAAAACAGCTTTTTAAACAAGCATTTTGAGTGTTTAAATATTGTTTTCAATAAAACTAAAATTAAGATCTTTACAATGGTTTTAATTTGTGGTCATTGGAAAATATAGTTGATGCCATATTATGTTATTGAAGACTGTTTTCTCCATTTGGTTAACATGCTATTCTTACTGCCTCTTCAGGTTTTGATAAACGTACTGGAATGGTTGTCAACCATCAGACAGAAAATGCAACACATATTTCTGGTAAACCAATCCTGGATAACAATGCAGTGAATCTCTTCTCCTCTGTAGTCATTGCTTTGTTATTGCCAGGAATAGCATGGGGATTTTGGCCAAGAGGATGAAGACAAGTATCGACTTGCATTTTTTTTCTTCAAACAAGCTGTGACCTAAAAGATACTCCACCAAAAGTCTTTATAATTCTAGACTGGAATACATTCCTGCAACTATTCTGAAAACATGCGGAATCACTAGGTTATTAAAGTGATACTTCCTGCAGCAGTTTTAGGTAGCTAAGACAGACAGGAAGAGGCGGAGTCCTGATTTAATATTGCTTCTTATGTAATAGACTATAGTTATCACTTGAGTTATTACTTGATAGAATATTTGATTGCACTTCATTCTCGATAATCTATTAGGCAAATGGGAACTGGGAAGACTAAAATAACCTGTGGATAGAATGCCACTACAGCTACCTGAATAAGTTAAGGATCTTGGTCTAGTGACTAAACTAAATGCTAAACTTTCTATATTATTTTGAAATCTATTTTTTTGTGGGGACCTATTGTAGCTAGTGATCACTCTAGGTACAACATTCAATACAATCACAACTTTGCTTTTTGCCATTAAAATATTTTTTAAAATGTGTATGGTATGAAACCTAATACTGTCCTGTTGGTGCTTGAAATTTAAAGTTTAATTTATTGGGTTTAAAATATTATGTTTAAAAAACAAGAACGTATGCTTTGGCCACTGTCTGTAATTAGCTATAGTTTTATTCTGGCATATGGAACAAATAGTTATATTTGTTCAAAATTTGTTTGATCTTTGAGATGGATGTTCATTTTAAATTGTAATAACTTACCACTGATATCTGAATAGATAGGTTTATTTCTTCATAAAGATTGGGCCAAAAGTGAAATTCAATTAAACTGAAAGCAACTCTTACTGATAAATTACTTTTTATTTTTCTTGTATAATTTTTTAAAAAATATATTGGCAAGTTATATTACAAATGCAATGAAAAATTTGTCAGGTTTGTTTGCAAGTAGATCCATTTTCCATAGACTTATATTTGTCATTTTATATAAATCAGATACTAGAATTTTTAATTTTACACTAATTTTAAAGGAAAAAAGGTAAGACGTTGGTAGATGCTTCAAAGAGGCTATCCCTACAGACAATTTTTAATATTGTTTGTAGAAATTGACTGTTTTCAATTGTTTTACTTATCAGTTACAACTGTACATAAGAATTCATATTAACAAGAAATGTGCATAAAGAAAATTTGAAGAACCATTTATAGAAATTGATTAAAACAACACAATATGCACATATGTAATATAGGACATTGGGAATTTCTGCAAAAATTAATATACAGATTTCTGTAATATAGACACTGGAATACATGGCATAATAAAGTGAATACAGCACTAACTAGCATTGACACTTAAGCATCTAAAAATTTGGGTATTCGTTGGTAATAGCAAAATAGATAATAAAATCTTAATGCAACCCAAGAAATTGATTGGATTGATGAAGATCTGGTTAAAATATTATAGATATCAGTGAAGCATTGTGAACTAATTATAAATAAGAAAAATAGAAAATACAATATTTAATGGAATGTATGAGTTGGGGAGAAGAATGTAAATTGAAATCTTTTCTGTGCCTCGATGTATTTATACATCGTGATAAATAGAGCAGTAGGCATCTTTTTTGAAAATACATGTAGAAAATGTGTCCCAAATGAGGCTCTTACAAATATGTTCAAATAAAAGTGACTTTAAAATGGCACTCAGTCTGTTTTGTTTAATCATATAGAACACTGATATGTTACATTGAGAAAAATCATACAACTTTGATATCATTTTGGTTTATAAAATTAACAGTGCCTTAGCTAGGATCAATTCTAAAAAGTGGCAAGTCTTTTTGCTATCAGGAATCATTACAAAACATGGACAGAAGCACTAATCACACTTGTATACAAGGAGGATTCAGACCAGCAATTAGTACTAAATTACAGGCCTATCTCTTTATTGAATTCTGATTATAAAACATATATGTCAATAATTGCTGAAAGGTTAAAAATGATTCTAAATAAACATACATTTGGATCAATATGGTTTTTTGCCAGGACGACAAATTAGAAACAACACACGCACCCACCATAATCGATATATTAAGAGTTTTATGAAGAAACAAGTTTCACTGGTTTTCCTTGATTCCCAAAAAGCTTTTGATAATTTGAATTGGAGATTTATGATACAACAAATTTAAAAAAATGGAATTTGGCTCAAAATTTGAAAAAATGATTGAAAAAATATATTTAAAACAAACTGCAAGAGTAATTATGAATCAAGATATGATAGACGGATTTGAGATAACAAAAGGAGTGAGACAAGGATGCCCACTTTCCCCATTTCTCTTTATATTATCATTGGAGCCACTCTTAAAAAAAATTAGGGAAGATCGAGAGATAAAAGGATTGACAATAAAAGATGAGTACAAATTGCAAGCCTTTGCAGATGATATGGTTTTTATAATTGAGGAACCTCTAAAATCAGGCCCCAAATTGATTAAAAAAATAGAAGAATTTGGCGAAGTGGCAGGTTTAAAAATAAATAGAAATAAATCCAAATTACTAAAAATCTTACAAAAAACCAAGAGATAGAATTAGAAAATAGTATGAATATTCAGATAACAAAAAAAAATAAAGTATTTAGGGATTTGACTAACAGCAAGAGGCTCCTCAATCAAAAAGGAAAATTATGACAAATTAATACTGCAAATTGGAAAAGATTTGGAAAATTGGAAAAATCTTCAAATTTCATGAATGAGAAGAGTAGCGGCAATAAAAATGAATATCCTGCCCAAAGTTTTATTCCTCTTCCAGGTTATACTGATAAAAATAGAAAAAAGTTTTTTTGATTTATTAAATAGATTGACCTCAAAATTTATATGGCAAGGGAGAATTAGATTAAAAACATTACAAGATACCAGGGATAGAGCAGTAGCAGCATTTCCAGATTGGGAGTTTTATTACCAAGCAGCATGCCTAACACGATTAAAGGAATGGATGGAGTTGGGAAATAAAAGAATCTTAACAATAGAAGGACACGATTTAGACAGGATGGCATGCTTTCTTATGGGGTGAAAAGCAAAAAACTCATGGATATTTTAGAAGGCATATAATTAGAAATTCATTATTATTAATTTGGAATAAAATCAAAAAGCAGCACTATACAAGTATATCGCTTTGGATTTCTCCCAATGAAACATTAACGCACCAAAATTTAGTAGACTGGACCAAAATAATTAGATACAGGGATATATTAAATGATTTGGGAAAATTAAAAACAAAACAAGAATTGGAACAGGATTTGAATAGGGAAGTTGAATGGTGGACGTACTTACAAATAAGATCAAAATTCACAGAAGATACAAAGATCAGGTACAATTAGAGCAAAATGAACTGGATAAAATTGTATATGGGAGGGAACAAAAATTAATTAGTTAAATATATAAATTTTTATTGCGGTATAAAATGGAAGAGGAAATAATGAAAGATACTATGATCAAATGGGCAAGGAATTTCAATCACGTAATAGAATTAGAGAAGTGGGAAAAGATGCGGAGAACAAATATGAAATTGACAACATCAACGGCATACAAGGAAAACCAGATGAAAATGTTTCATAGATGGTACTTTCCACCGGCTAGAATAGCAAAAATGTTTCCTAGTAATTCACCGAAATGTTGGAAATGTAAGAGTAACTATGGAACATATTATCACCTCTGGTGGACCTGCCCAGTGACAAAGAAATTTTGGGCTAAAGTTAAAAAGTGAATAGAGGAAATAATTCAGAATTCAATAAAGGGAGAACCTGAGCAATTTCTACTAGGGATTTCCATAGAAAACTATACCAAGGCAATACATTATTTAATATTACATGTACTGACAGCAGCCTGCATAGTCTATGCGCAAAATTGGAAGAAGGAAAACCTACCATCAGAAGAAAATTTAATTAGAAAAATTTTAGAATGCGCAGAGATGACAAATTAACAAAAGAACTCAAGGAGAAAGAGGATACAGAATATTACAAAGTGTGGTGTAGATGGTATGAATGGTTGGAAAATAGGAAAAATGAGAAAGAGGAATAAAGGAGAGAGAGGAAAAAAATGTTGAAGATCAAGGTGCCTTCTGCTGCATAGCTCCCAGCCACCGGTAAGATCCCACAGAGTTGGTCTCCTCCGGGTCCCGTCAGCTAAACAATGTCGGCTGGCAGGCCCGCAGGGGAGGGCCTTCTCTGTGGCTGCCCCAGCTCTCTGGAACCATTGAATTAAATTAAATTAAATGTAGACGAAATAAAGAAAGATAGAAAATAATTGTTGAATAAGACAAAAGTTAAAATATGTGTAAACAGATATAAATAGCAAGAAAGGATCACCTTGAAATAGCTGAAGAAATAAGTGATATGTATATACAGGTTGTGTGTTTATGTTTTGTTTTAATGTGTTCAAAATAAAACTTTTTTTTTAACAAAAACAATCATTACAGAAAAGCAAATTATCATAAGAGATGGACATTTTAACAAACACAATTTAAAAGTCAATAATTATTTTCTATTTCACTTTGCATCAATTAATGGTCAAATAATGAAGAACATCCTCAACAAATTCAACATTGAAATATATCTTCAATGTCTCCTGGAGTTTGCCCAAATTCATGTTCGTTGCATTAATAACATTAACCATCTCATCCTCTATCATTCCCTTCTCTTTTTGCCTTCAATCTTTTCCAACTTCAGAGTTTTTTCCAATGAGTCCTTTCTTCTTATCTAGTGGCCAAAGTACTTGAGCTTCAGCTTCAGTATCTGTCCTTCCAAAGAACACTTGGTTCATTTCCTTTAGGATTAATTGATTTGATGTCCTTGCAGTCCAGGAGATTCTCGTAAGTCTTATCCAATACCACAATTTGAAAATATCAATTCTTTGGCACTTAGCCTTCTTTATGGTCCAACTTTCACAGCCATACATTGCTACTGGGAACCACAATGGCTGGTTCATGTAACATGTTGAACCCCATGTTGAACTTTTGGAACACTGCTTTTGTTATAATTATCTTCACTTGGATTCCTGTTAACTAATATATTGTCAATGACTTTTACATCCTTTTCTAGTTAAATTGATAGCACTAGCATTTAGCAATAGCACTTAGACTGCCCCATAGTGCTTTACAGTACTCTCTGGGCAGTTTATAGAGCCAGCATATTGCCCGCAACAGTCTGGATCCACATTTTACCAATTTCGGAAGGATGGAAGGATGACAGGGCTGAAGGATCGAACTCCAGGCCGTGGGCAGAGTTTGCCTGCAATATTGCATTCTAACCACTGCGGCACTAGATTAAGAGCTGCTGAAGAACCAGGCTTACTTTTGCTTAAAATTTCACTTGACTAGCAGAAACAGATTTTGTCTTTCCATTTGCAAAGATACTCACTTTCCTCATTTTTGAACTCACGAACATTTATGAACTCACAACTCATACCATGAGGTCAGGGCTGTAAGCTATTCCTTTCCTACAGATCCAGAATACAGTATAAAATTGGCAGAGAAATACACAGAATCAGAGGTGAAAAGCCCTAAAATAGCCTTTTTTTTAAAAAAAAAATCCTTTAACCGTCGTAGCAAAAGGACAATGTAGAAAAAAAATGGTCTAAGGATAAAACCTGAGCCTTTCTGCTGTAGCCTTATCTCTCTAGAAATGACTCATGACCACCATCTTTTCTGATCTTGTACTAAACTGTTATGTGGCTTGTACTATGTAAACCTAGTCTATGTTTGTAGGATTATTAGGAGCAGAGGTGGCACAATGGTTAGTGTGCAGTACTGCAGGCTACTTCTGCTGACTGCCGGCTGACTACAATTTGGCAGTTTGAATCTCACCAGACTCAAGGTTGACTCAACTTTGCATCCGAGGTCGGTAAAATGAGGATCTAGATAGTTGGGGGCATTACGCAGACTCTGTAAACCACTTAGAGAGGACTGTAAAAGCATGGTGAAGCGGTATATAAGTCTAAGTGCTATTGCTATTATTTAGTTACATTTGCAGAATTATAACTAGTAGCATTAAGGAAGGGGGAGAGAAATCCATCTGTTCCATGTATATATAGTCTTGGAAATAAGGATCCTAGCTTAGTATCTCCTTGATATTCTAATGAAGAGTACCGGTACTACTTTAATACAACTTCTATTCAAACATGCAATCTATTTTGTCTTTAGCCACTCTTTGAAATGGATTCTGAAAATATAGCTCTTACGTTTTTAACCCTTTAAAAAAATACTACTCATATGATTATTGATTCTTCCCTTTTCCTAAAGCATTTGTGAATGCACTATCCTGTTAAATCTAACGACTACATTTCAATGTTGGTGAAATAGAGTTGTGTGTTAAACTCATTCTGTTAGATCCATTGATGTAATGCCTGTATTAATTTCTTCTGGTCCAGGAGTAAACATACTGTGTCTTAAAAAGGAAGCCAGTACTACTGTTTCTATATGTCAAAATTGAGATCTTTCACCAAGCAAATGTGGCTGATATTCCTTCATATGTATCATCATTGAATAAACAAATTAATGGTATCTGAATATGGAGGAGTGGAAATGCTAATATATACCTAGTATAAACATAGTTACGGAGCCTTTAATTCTGCCTCAAAATTTAAAAAGTTAATGATTTTCATAAAGGTGTTATCATTGAATAACAGAAATCGTGTTTTAAGTTAACGAAAATATT